ATGTTATCATCTAGTTTCTCTTATTTTTATTACTTGTTAATAATATATATTTTTTTATATTTTTATATTCACGTTTTATATAAATATATATAATTTTGAAATTGTGAATAAAACAAATTTTGTGTAATTGACATTTCTTAACCTACTATATATATTATATAATTGACATTATATAATTAACGACATAATATATATAATTAACTACATCTACAGTTGAAACTTTAATTTGTGGAAAAATTATTTATTTATTTTTCAATTTTTTCAGTTTTCTTCTTTAGTTTTATTTTGTAAGTTTGTTTCTCAATTTTTTCAGTTTCATTTGTTTACACTACTTTTATTGTAGATAGTACGACACTTCTTTTAAATTTTCAAGTTAAAATTGTTTTCCAAGTATAATCATATATTCTGAATTTTCAATTGAAATGTCAATTGATAAAAAATTATTGAACCGAGAAAATAATTTCAGAATAAAATTTCGAAAGATGTCTTCCGACACTTTCGGTGGGAATAGTGTTAATATCCGCGAGGTTCATGTGAAATTCCATGCATTCTTCAGTGCCTTAACGCCGAGCAGCCGCCTATGTGTCTTTGTATCGCTCCCTATCGCCGAAGGGGAATGAAATTTGAATTTTGGGTCACCCGTGCAATATGCATAACGAGCTTCGTTCACAAAAGCGTCGCTGGATTCTTTCCATCCGTCACGCGGAAATTACGTTTTTCTTCCGCTTAATCTGCACACTCATCATTAGATTAGTCATTCCTTTCGCTTAACCCTTGCACTACGACCGAGTGCCAAGGCAGCCATTTTGAAACTCAATTTTGCTCTATTTTTAGGAAAGTTTGATGAAATTCAGAAAATGTTAGTGTAAAATTGATGAAAATGGGAAATTTGTTTATTTATGCATATCTTCATGAAATTTTGGTAAAATTCATGAAATATTAATATAAAATTGATAAAAATGAGAAATTTGTTTATTTGTGCTTTTTAGTTCTATAAACATTCATTTTTATAATAAACTTATAAACAAAACTGTATTTGAAAAGGTAAGGTTAAAATTACTGCAATTGAAATTTTCTTAACTGCATGTGTAATCTTAACTTGTCATTCATAGTACCGATGGATTACTGAAATTTTTCTGATTAAAACGAGTCCAAACACGACACAAATCGGACTAGTTTTACGACTTGATGGAAACTAGCCTTTAGTTTCATTAACTACATCAATTCCGTAAAACTACTCCGATTCCCATCGTGTTTGGACTCATTTTAATCAGCACGATCTCAGCAATCCATTGGTACTATTATCTCCTATTTTTTTTTCAAACCTATTTCAGATACTCAACACTCTCAAATATTACTCATTATAAATTAATACAACTCTACATTACTAAATATTAAACCTCTCTCACAATTATCCCCTATTCTCACCCAAAATACATTTCTATATCACACCCTATATAATCTGAAATTCTCAGTACCACAACCTTCCCTTTTAAAAAGATTGTCACCTATCTTCGTGACACACAGTTGAACTAGTATTCAAAGATGGCTCCCTTTCTCACTACGAAACACGTTATAAAAAAACGAGCAAGACTGTACTCTAAACTTCCTGCATAAAACGCAACCGTGCGCTGTCTCATTCGCCCTGTGTCGCACACATTGTCGTATCCAACCGTCACGCGATTGACGCGACCTTCAGCTATTCGTTATTGAACACGGCTGGTTAAACAAACCGAATGGACAGCAACGCGGAGTCACTGGGACGAAACGAACGCAATTGGACAGCAAAAACGGTACGACGTTTGTTCAACTCTTGGCACTGCCACTGTTTTCCTAGTTTCTGTCGATTACCGGTGAAGCCTTCTGCCTGTGACATCTTATTTTGGACATGGAGATGTTCAGGTGCTTATGGATTAT